CCAGCTACTAGGGAGGCGGAGGTGGGAGGATCGCTTGAGTCCAGGAGCCAGAGGTTACAGCAGTGAGCCCAGATCAAGACACTGCAGTCCACCCTGTGCCACAGAGGGACATCCTGTCTCAAAAAAACAACAAAAAAAACCAAACTATACGTTTTTTATTCCTTTGATCAAACAATGACTGTTACATAACACATCCTGTCATAGACCTCATGGCTTGTTTGCAGGGAATATCAGGGATAGATTTAATGGACAATCACAGAAATTATATCGGTGTTTGATGTGTTTATATTCCTCTTCTGTTACATAGGTTTCAGTTTCCTTTTGTATGAGTCCCCAAATTGAGAAAAGAAGTAGCCACTGGAAAATCAAAGATACAGTTACTTTTAAAATATTTTGCTTCAATCTAGGTAACCAACATGATTTCTTTCTTCGATTAAAAAAATTTTTTTTAAAGATAGAATTTCCCTTGTATTGCCCAGGCTGGAGTGCAGTGGTGCAGTCTTGGCTCACTGCAGACTCCACCTTCCGGGTTGAAGTGATGCTCCTGTCTCAGCCTCCTGAGTAGTTGGGATTACAGGCATCCACCACCATACCCAGCTAATTTTTGTATTTTTAGTAGAGACCAGGTTTCACCACATTGGCCAGGCTGGTCTTTAACTCCTGACCTCAGGTGATCCACCTGCCTCGGCCTCCCAAAGTGCTGGGATTACAGTTGTGACCCACCGAGCTCGGCCTCTTTCTTAGCTTTGAAGAAAGAGAATTAAATAGACAATGAACTCATTATTCCTCCTATATTTGCATATTTCTGATGCCTTCTATAATAAAAGTTTTGAGTACATAACAGTTACAGAGCCAGAGATGTGAGTGCTATTTTTTTTTAATTATATCTATTTCATTGGCATAGAATTTAACTTGTTCTCTGAAATTGAAACAGTTAAGTCATGATGGGCTCATGATGCAGCTAGTTCTGCATGTATTTTCTGGTTATTGTTGTAGACTGTTGGAAGTGGACCTAGATTTGCTCAGGATATGAAGTAGGCATGATTCATCTAGTGATTTTGTAAGGGTTGTCTGCCCTAATTCCGGGAGAGTTGCTGTTGTTTGCCCGCTCCATTAAAGAGGAAGGCAGACATGAAGTGTATTGTGTGACACCATGATTCCTGGTCTTAGATGTGGAGTTGAAACTACAGTGTCAGCTCAAGGTCATCCAAGCAACAGTGGTGGGGAATGGGATTTGGAAATACTAGGAAGCAGAGTCCTTGCCTAAAGCTAGCTTAAAACCTCTCTTTGTCTAGGTACATGCCTTTTGGGGGATTTTGTTGTGTTTTCCGAATGAGTTTAATTTGCCACACATTCTTTTAGGAAGTCCAATTTTGTCTTTAGTTTTTTTTTTTGTTTTTTTTTTTGAGATGGAGTCTTGCTCTGTCACCTACGCTGGACTGGCGTGATCTCAGCTCACTGCAACTTCTGCCTCCCAGGTTCAAACAACTGCCCTGCCACAGCCCCCTGAGTAGCTGGGATTATAGGTGCACCACTACCACACCCA